TGGTATAGTGGCTATATGGTACTCGGCTGCTAACCCGCAGGTCGCGGGATCGAATCAGGCTGCGGCGGCTGCATTTCCGATGGAGGCGGGAATGTTGTAGGCCCGTGTGCTCAGATTCGGGTGCACGTTAAAGAACCCCAGGTGGTCGAAATTTCCGGAGCCCTCCTCCACTACGGCAGCTCTCATAATCATATGGTGGTTTTGGGACGTTAAACCCCACATATCAATCAATCACTCAATCATCGTGTATGTCATTATCTGCGGGCTTTGTACGAGCTCCGCTAATTCATGCTGTAATTAGGACCTACATTCCACACATAAATATGTAGTGCCCCCCTCCCCATTTCATGAAGCGATTCCGACAGTACGACGGCTTTTCAGGAATGTCTCCGAAAATTACTCATCCTGCATGGTTCGCTAACCAAACACTTCAACGTATACAGGTCGAATACCTGGCTCGAGTTGGCAGCGCAGATTATTTTGTTTTCCTCGTGAGTTCAATGACCTGAACGCGGAGAACGCGGAGTGAACTGACGGCACCGAGAGTGGTCGCATAGTTGTGCATGCGCCATCCTCGCCACCGAGCTGTCAATCACGCATCGCGCCTTTTGCGTCATATGGGAGGAACGGAGTCACGCGCCGCGGAGAAGCACAACTGCGGAAAAATAAATAAAATAAAAAAATGCGTGCGTGTGATTTCCGATTCTGTTAATGAACTGAGAGGAACTCCAGTGTCCGTATACAGGAAATCCTGACATTTCGGGAAGGGACGTGTAGCTTCACAATACACAGCAACTCACGCGAGACGGCGCCTGCGCGCCGAAAAAGATCGCAACTATTTCACGTGGGTTTTCGTGTATCCTGTGATTCCTGTTCCACAGCTATACGTGGGCCGAATCGAAATCATTCGTTCAAGTTCACATTTTACAGTGGCCAGGAACGTAAACATTTCACATTTTTACTCCATGAATAAGTTATACTAATATATATATATATATATATATATATATATATATATATATATATATATATATATATATATATATATATATATATATATATATATATATATATATATATATAATACTAATAAATTTACTCCATGAATATATTATAACGGGCCTTTGAAAGGTCCGTTATAATATATTCGACAGTGATCTGTGCAGCTGAACAAAAATTCATACGAATAAAATAAGCTACATCAGACCTACACAGGAACTACATTTACGCTACATTAGGCACTTTATTTATTTACTTACTTATTTATTTACTTAAATGAATGCGAAAGCCTCAGATGCCTCTTAGAACGCGCAAGCTGACCCTTTGGCGTTGTCGTCCCGAGTAATGCAAAAAAATCCTCATAACGTGGTGACGTCATCACAACGTCACAGAGTGCGCGAATTCGCGAATTTATCATGACGCCACAAAGCACGGGACTCCGTGATATTTTCTGTGATTACGTCATTATCACGAATGAAAATTAGAAGGTGTCGGAATTAAAAGTATGCCAACTTTTCCCAATTTACGTTAAACCAACCAGTATCTTCTCACGTGCGTTTGCATGTGTGCAGGAACAGGCGAAATAGAAACGTTTCGTGTGAGAGGGGATTAAAGAACCTCCCAATAGGCACCCGGCAATGCAGTTTACGAGATGTGATGGTAGCGCCAGAACACACAGCCTAGCGAGTAGACGCCGCAAAACCGGACTTGCACGTGCATATCATTTTCTCTTTTAGTTGTGAGCAGGGGGGTCACGGCTGATTATGTAAGCGTCCAGGAAGGGCACTGACACTTCAGCGTGTCACTGCGTGCAGCGAGCGTTTCATTTTCTTACCCCCGTATTCACAAACGCCCCTCGACTCGACTTTCACCCTTCACTTGAAAGAGCTGCGCACTGCGCCGCTGCTCAGACAAAAATGACGCTGCGCTACTCAAGAATAGCAGCAAATTATACTGGTACGCAGTAACTTTTTTTGCCTAGAGATGGCGCTTTCATCGGCTTTCTCAAGTGTAGGTGGAGCGTCAAGTGAAGGGACGTTCTAGAATACGGGCCTTAGAATCCCTGGCGGTCGGTACCAACAATGCTGGGGCGGCCCAAGAAGCTTCGTGGCGCCCTCTGGTCCACTGTCGGGTGCCCATATAAAAAAAAATTTCGGAGGAAATGAACCCTCCCCCCCTCCCTCCCTCCTGGCTACACCAGCGTCGACACATGGCGTTGTGCAAGCACGTCCCCGCCAGCGCACACCGGTAAAAAGAGAGCACGGCGAGGCGGTGACCTGTGAACCACCAAGAACGGGGTCGACGAGACACGCCCAGGCTTGCGCGATGACAGACACTTGGCAGTGTCAAACCGTCGCCCATCACAAGATGCCCGCGCCCACCACCAAAACGAGATCAACGATGCACCTGCACGCTTGGCACTTGTTTACGTCACAAAACTCCCATTTCCCATTCACCTGTTACGGCTCGACGGCGAAAGCTATTTTCTTTTTCTTGTACGGCACGCTTTGGAGGTGCTCCACTTCACAGGCAGAGCAACTTGAAGGTGACTTTCATTCCATCTCATGCCCGGTCCTCCATATAAGAATTCATCTATCTATCTATCTATCTATCTATCTATCTATCTATCTATCTATCTATCTATCTATCTATCTATCTATCTATCTATCTATCTATCTGTCTGTCTGTCTGTCTGTCTGTCTGTCTGTCTGTCTATCTATCTATCTATCTATCTATCTATCTATCTATCTATCTATCTATCTATCTATCTATCTATCTATCTATCTATCTATCTATCTATCTATCTATCTATCTATCTATCTATCTATCTATCTATCTGTCTGTCTGTCTGTCTGTCTGTCTGTCTGTCTGTCTGTCTGTCTGTCTGTCTGTCTGTCTGTCTGTCTGTCTGTCTGTCTGTCTGTCTGTCTGTCTGTCTGTCTGTCTGTCTGTCTGTCTGTCTGTCTGTCTGTCTGTCTATCTATCTATCTATCTATCTATCTATCTATCTATCTATCTATCTGTCTGTCTGTCTGTCTGTCTGTCTGTCTGTCTGTCTGTCTGTCTGTCTGTCTGTCTGTCTGTCTGTCTGTCTGTCTGTCTGTCTGTCCTGTCTGTCTGTCTGTCCTGTCTGTCTGTCTGTCTGTCTGTCTGTCTGTCTGTCTGTCTGTCTGTCTGTCTGTCTATCTATCTATCTATCTATCTATCTATCTATCTATCTATCTATCTATCTATCTATCTTCTCTATCTATCTATCTATCTATCTATCTATCTATCTATCTATTATCTATCTATCTCTATCTATCTATCTATCTATCTATCTATCTATCTATCTATCTATCTATCTATCTATCTATCTATCTATCTATCTATCTATCTATCTATCTATTCTATCTATCTATATATCTATCTATCTATCTATCTATCTATCTATCTATCTATCTATCTATATATCTATCTATCTATCTATCTATCTATCTATCTATCTATCTATCTATCTATCTATATATCTATCTATCTATTCTATCTATCTATCTATGTGGCTGTCTGTCTCTTAATAGGTGTACAAATAATCCCATCTGAAAGGCTTTCTCTCCTTGCATGGTTTGATACTGCCTCTGCGATGGGCGAGCCTTTGACCAAGAGACGGATGTCATGCGACGCTGTACTGACGTAATGACGAGGTCGCCAAATTCGGAGAACTGTGATTTCCCGATGACGTCGCATAGCGTCGCCACCACTCCATGATTCGCTACGTCACTCACAGTGTTGGCGCCGACGGTCAATTTTCGCGTTTCATGCGGCATCTAAAATAAAAGTTTATCCAATCCAATGCGGCATCTAAGGCTTTCGTCATCATAAACTTACCATTCAAGGGACGTTTCGATACGTTTATAAATCGCGTAGAACACGTAGACCGCAAGTTGCAGTACTCATTGCATGTAACTGGCAAGAGAATAAATTTGTTTTCGAAATAAGCACTTCTTATACAGCGGAGCTGCATTGTGACCAGGGTTTCGTCTACTTTAACAGGGACGCTACTCGGCAAATAGTTCCTTGTCCAGCAAACAAAAGAAGTCATTATCATAAAGGGTATGTGACACGGACGTCGGGTGAATCCCATCACTGTTACACAAAAACGAAGGCAACGGTTGGTACGAAAAATTGGCTGCGAAGCGACGACGGTGAGCTGAAGTCCTCGCGAGTACGCAACGGCGGCTGCGAGAAGACGCCGAAGCGATGGATGGTCCTGGTGATGCAGAACTATCGGCGAATGTACTACCTGTAGCATCGATAGTTTAAAAAAGAGCTCTCGATACTATCGAAAGCCCAGTTGCCCTTAGTTCTGAGGAGAACAGTCACAGAAAAGTACCGTTCGCAGACTCAGGTCTTTTCATCCATGAGCATTTTTCTAGTGAATAAAATTACCTCAGTGAAAATGCCGGAACATCTCAACTAAGAATTAATTCTCAAAATCAAGCAGTCAAACCTTACAAACAAAAGTACGTTTGTGATTTTTTTTTTACCTTAGACCACGAACGCAACAGACTTGGGCGGTGGTGTCTAACGGATCAAATTCGGAGAAATGCCACGCACAGCATGTTTCTTGAAATGACTTCAAACTCGGTGTGCTCATTCATTCAGGCTTCCTGAGTGGACTAACAGCAGTCACTTAACTTCATAGCACCGTGTATTGCTGCAGATTATCACTGATGGACACGCTACACTACGCACAGTCACAGTCACAGTTAGCTAGCTAGCTAGCTAGTCAGTCAGTCAGTCAGTCAGTCAGTCAGTCGGTCGGTCGGTCGGTCGGTCGGTCGGTCGGTCGGTCGGTCGGTCGGTCGGTCGGTCGGTCGGTCGGTCGGTCGGTCGGTCGGTCGGTCGGTCGGTCGGTCGGTCGGTCGGTCGGTCGGTCGGTCGGTCGGTCGGTCGGTCGGTCGGTCGGTCGGTCGAATTACTGAAGCCTACAGTTGCCACTCTTGGGTTCTCCTTTGCAGGACGCAGACGCTGCCCGACGCGAGCACTGAGGAGGTGCACTGTCGCCGCTGTCGAGGAGTCTACAGGCGTCAGAGGGCGCGGTAAGCAGCTTGCACGTATCATACACACACTCGGCGGAACATTAAACCGTCATCGAACTCTAACTCCATGCCTGTCCCAGTGCCGATGCCGACCGATGCGAACGTATTCATTTCTTTTTTCACGCCTTTCAAAATCGTTGCTGCGATTGCGCGATCGAGTTTATCGTTCCACAAGACCAGTCTGGACCACAGGCTAGCAGGCAAACGATTCTCTTGTGATTGGAGCTGTTTAAGACGGCCGTAATCAGTCGAGCGCGAATGAAAAACTCCGCGACGCGATAACGTCGACGTGCGTTGCCTAGCAACCGGTGGCACAGTTGTGCGCCTGCTTCGCTAGCCCATACACTGCTCTGCGACCGGGGTAGCTGTTGTGGCGGTGTCCCATTGGTGGACATGTCCAATTCGGTGGAACGCGTTCGGCAACGCAAAAAAAAGGGAGGGGGGGGCGGTGAGTCGTGACGTTGTGACGCTATTGACGACGTCGGCGCACCGAACCCACCAGCATATTTCCAGCTTTAAAAGAAACTAAGCGGACGAAATGCACACTAAGAGCGCTCCTAAACAAACATGACACGTCTGAACGTGCGTGCACTTGTGAACGTGTTGATATGTCCGAACAGCGATGAAAGGAATGCGTACCAATCGTCCAAATGGAACAGGCGGGTGGTCGCGTTAAACCTAGTTACAATGTCTTCTAGTACACTCTAACCTAGTTCAAAGGCTAACGTGATTACTATAACGTGTAAATACGGTTTGAAACCCGTGACGCCTTGCGCGAAGTATTCGGCGCGAAATTTAAAGGTGAAGCTTTGGCTTTGATTTTATCCTCTGTTAAAAACCATACGATGGGGTAGTTATGCCATCTTTGACAGGTCGTTTCGGAGCGCTCTAGAGCACTCTCATGACAGATTGTGAGGTTGCGTCGTTTTCCTTTCGACCTCCCTCCTCCTCTCTCTCTTTCTCTTTCAGTAGAGCGCTCTAAGCGCTCCAAAACGACCAGTCGAAGATGGCATTAATGTCATGAGCGTTTTCAGATTACCATTTATCAATATAAACCGATATTGGCTTAGAGGACATACCGTGGCGCCACCTACGTGATGACGTCATTCATAGGATGCCGGGTAGACTTTGTCTGCTAGAACACCGCATTTCCTGCGCTTTTGCTGTGGACACCGTGCGCGCACTTCCTTTTTTTTTTTTTTGAAACTCAGTGCTTAAAGAAGCGGTAAGACCTGATAACACAAACAAGCAAACTACGAATCGGTGCCCCCGGGGGCACTCTCGTGCCTGATTCACATCGTAAAATCGCGACTAAGAACCGGTGCAACCATGGGGGACGATGCAAGTGGTGCCGCGAAAGCAAAGCTGCCGTATTCCCCAACTAAACATCCCATCTGTGACGTCAACACGATCGCACCGCTGGCCTCTCAAGTGGAGCTCCTCGCAGCCAATAGCATTTCACTTTTGCGTCCCATTAAAACCCGACTGGAACTCGAGGCATGGGAGACTGCCCTCCTCAACTGCTCATCACTAGAGTCTCAACGGGCTCTGGTGAGACGGGAGGGGCCTCGTCATGCGGTGTCCCGGACTAAGGACTCCGACCATGTAGCGGGGTCATGCTTTGGCCCCGTACCTCTCTTTTATAATTAATGTTTTTCATCATCATCATCGCAAAGCCGCTGCAGTGCGTGTTTCGCCCGAGCGCGAGCCAACAAAGGAGACGCGAGGCGTCGTTCCTTCCGTCCTTCGCCGTCCTGTCGGAACGCTTCCTGCGACGACCGCATCGTGTTCAGTGTGACGCAGCCGCGTGAAGTGCACTGAACTGGGCGAGTCAGCCCCAACGAGTGCACGCACTTTTCCTTTGAAACCCTTTAGAACAAACAAAAGAAAATGTCACCGGTCGAGCAAGAAACATTATCGTCGTTCAGACTTCCGGCCGTGAGACCTTTTGCGTCACTGAGAGCGACGGTAGGTGGAGTCGGCAAACGTGTGACTACACAAGCGTCTTAAAGGCGTTACTTCCCGGTTGCGCTCCACCCACTTTCAATGACGGCCGCATGGTGGCGTCGCGCGATGACAGTTAATGGACGAATGCAATCATTCGCGTTTGGTTGTGTACACTGTTATGGCATACACGTTACCTTAGTCTCTTAGGAAAGACCTAAATTAAGCAGGGCTCATCACAAACAGACATGCACCGCACATAACTATATTATTTTACGGAAAGCATTAGTTCAGGACTATGCATGCACGTAAGAGAGCGCAAAATGGTAGGATTACGATAAAGATCGGTAGACCATACAATGGGCAAGACAACAGATGCGGTGGACATATAAATAACTGGACCTGGGCCGGCCACGTTAATGCGGGGAATATGTGGTACAGCGCGAGCAAGATGACAGAAACGAACTACAATATATCACTTAGTCCTTCTTGGTCCTGGCATGTTGTTCGCGCTATATCCAGTTTTATAGCCATGAACCAACCAGTCTCGTTATTTATATGGTTATAAAAGGGAAAAGAAAAGTGAGCCTCGTAGATGTCTGCATCTAGTGCGACACCTCAACAGTAACTCACAAGGAATGGGGGTAAGGAGTGATTAAAAGGATAGAATTAAAAGGTTTATATATATATATATATATATATATATATATATATATATATATATATATATATATATATATATATATACATATATATAGGTATGGGATATGGCACAACGGGAGCGTTGTCAACAAGAATAAATATATTTATTTCCCAACAATTTCGGGGGGGGGGGGGGTCCTCCCTTCATCAGGGGATGAGTCCCCTGATGAAGGGAGGACCCCTCCCGAAACTGTTGGGAAATAAATATATTTATTTTTGTTGACAACGCTCCCGTTGTGCCATACCCATACCTTCACGAAGACTAACTGGCCCAATTGACAATTGAATTATTACTCCCACAATATATATATATATATATATATATATATATATATATGTATACATATATATAAATATATATATATATATGTATATATGTATATGTATATATATATATATATATATATATATATATATATATATATATATATATATATATATATATATATATATATATATATATATATATATATAGAGAGAGAGAGAGAGAGAGAGAGGCACAGGGACAGGGAGCGAAGGAAGTAAAGAGAAGATAGGAAAGATGAACACGGTCGCAGGAGTCCGAGGACGGGGCACCACTGGCGAGAGCTCCTGTCGGCAACAGGAGATGGCCTGGGGCTAATCCAGTCGGCCAGAGCTACGCTATGGTAGCTACGCTGTCGTCGTCGTCGGGGACCGGCGGCAGGAGGTGGCGTAGGACCAACCCAGTCGGCCAGAGCTGCGCTGTCGTTCGGAGATCGCGAGGGCACAACCGGTCGGCACGGAATCCAGCGAGTCCTCCGGTCTCATTAAAAAGCACTCTATAGTCAGGAAGTTCGCAGGGATTCAACCAAATCTGCTTAGCGCGAGAAAGGGTCGATTGAATGTCACTGGAGCCTCTGTCGTGCAGCGTACAGAAATGCGTAACTATACATCCACGTTCAAGGTCATATATAAGTGGACACCCCCTCCCCCCTTTTTTTTCCCGCTTCCACAATTTGAAAGGCCCCCGAGAACGGTGACGAGCGCCTACCGCATGCGCTCGAACACAGCTGGCAAACCAGTCTTACGAGCGGAACACGCAGCGGTTGGCGCCAGCTTAACGGTGGCGTCCTATTCTTTGCTAAATTCTTCCCGTTAGACCCCTTACTAGCCTATGGCTATGGGTCTAATCAGTGTTGTGCATTTCTTGAAATGTGGTCATAACGACCTCAATAAAATGTAAATGTAAAATGTAATGTAAATGAGTGCCAACGTCTGCTAGTCTGAATAACGGTTAATGTCGACATATGATGGAACTTTTGTACAGCGCGTAACCAAACGCACGAAAGAGGAAGAAAGAGCCGACAAATGTCCTGGGACAAGCTTGATCATTGAAGCACGATATGTCTAGAAAGAACATGATGATCTAACGTTGATGATGACTGCATTAGCCATCTATCGATGGAAATAAAGAAATACGAATATCCATAAAATCGAGTGAGAATGAGAAGACGATGGCTTTAGGCTTCGTGTCATCTTAGGCAAATACATGAGGGGCATTTTACATATAGATGGCTTGCAGTGACGTCACTTAAACAGCCACTTAGGAGCTCCAGCCCCGCCGCGGTGGTCTAGTGGCTAAGGTACTCGGCTGCTGACCCGCAGGGCGCGGGTTCGAATCCCGGCTGCGGCGGCTGCATTTCCGATGGAGGCGGAAATGTTGTAGGCCCGTGTGCTCAGATTTGGGTGCACGTTAAAGAACCCCAGGTGGTGGAAATTTCCGGAGCCCTCCACTACGGCGTCTCTCATAATCATATAGTGGTTTTGGGACGTTAAACCCCACATATCAATCAATCAATCAACTTAGGAGCTCCAACATGGTGGCATGTGAAGTTTGCGGTGTCACGCTGTGGTGTCATCGGTATACATCGCCTGCCCCCTCCGTTATTCATGCGCAGATGTCCCAATAACGTTCTACAGCGACGTCGTTATCACACTGCAGCAGGTTAATCGCCGTATGATTACACAGCCTTAACGTCATCCAAGCCACCATGTTGCAGCCACATTGTTCATCCGTGACGTCACGCGCAAGCTATCGATGACGTCAACGCGCCTTTCTCACTGTGCCGCGGCTCACGTACGCGCCCTTCCCAAAGCGGAATGATGGCGAAACACCCTTCGATCTCAGATCATTTCGTCCTGGTGATGCCGCTTGTCCCAGATATCGAAAGCATACGAAAAAGCAACGGAATACTACAGGTAAATAAATGAAAATGCCGCCATATCCACGAAGTGAATGATGATGAGTGGGCGAAGCTCCGGAGGTAAACCTGGTAAACCATGAATCCTCCGTACATTTTGCCCACTCGATTTTATTGCAACGCTCCCCCTAG